ACCCAGCCTTCTGCCCTGCACCTCCACACCCCCCCCAGCCCTCTGCCCTGACCTCGAGTCGCCCCCACACCCAGCCTTCTGCCCTGCACCTCCACACACACCCCAGCCCTCTGCCCTGACCTCGAGTCGCCCCCACACCCAGCCTTCTGCCCTGCACCTCCACACACACCCCAGACTTATAGAGAGAGACCTAAAAAACGTTAACATGTATTACCGGCACGCGAAACCTTAAATTAAAGTGAATAAATGAAGACTCGGCACACCACTTCTGAAAGGTTGCCTACCCCTGGTCTAGATTATACCTATATATATACACACACATGGTTATATAAAGCTAATTCTCTTACCAATTACAACCTTCAATATAGATCTTGGATATAATCCAGTCATATAATTTATATTAGAGTAAAAAATGAAGAAGGAAACCTACAATAATAATTTTTAAAATAATCTAAAACAACTATATTTCCAGGTTGGCCTTTTTGAAAAAAAAACCCCACCAAATTTCTAATAAATACATATATATGGTAGCTATTCATGTTTAAAATGCCTACGGCAAAAAGTTTACTTTTACAAACCATTAACGGGCTTATGTGGTGGTGAAACCAAATGCTACAGACATGTCTGAACACTTCTATTTGTCTTCAATGGAAACAAACCCGAATGATCATAATGCATATGCTGTCATAATTAATTTACTTAGATGGCTGCGTCTATGTGGATTTTTTTAAAGTAAAACATATCACCCTGCTATGTGAAAGAGACAGGATGACCTCAGGGATCTGTAGCTCTAAAAACTTCCCTCCATGAGATGAGAGTTCAGGGTTGTGTTTAGATTGATTCCAAATCCTAACTGGCAACACATCATAAAGATTAACTTTTGTATAATCTTTTTTTTATTTGGCATTTCAAATTTATCCCATGTGGTACCTAACTTACGTAATTGTCATTTGGCAACATCCTGGGACACCCAGATGATCAAGCAAATGGAACTGATTTCCAGAATTACAGTTCCAATGTTTGGCAGCCCATTCACAACAAGATTTGTACAAACTTGTGATTGTAAAAAGCTTAAGTTAATTAAAGACCCACCCAGCTCAATTATGATTCAAGGATGTCAGCTAGGTTCAATAAATGAAATTAGGTACTGATCCTGTACTCCTTACCTAGGCAGAGCTTCCAGTCAATGGGAGTTTACATGAATAACCAGTCCAGGATCAATCCCATAACAGAACAGTCATGTTTCTTTGCAATAGCTTACATTTATGAAAATTATTAGTATGAAAGTTTGAACTGTTTCAGGATAATGTAGATAGCATCACATACAGGAGTGTTAAAAGACCCATAGATAGAAACAAATGATGGATAAAGGTGAATAGGTTTAGCTAAGCAGAAATGCTTATCCAAAGCCTATTTGAACCATGGACAAGGGAAATTCTAGGAATTACAGACCATTAAGCCTCATGAAATAAACAAAACTCTAACCAAGTGTAGAATAGTATAGCATAACATTTGTAGAAGTTGTACCAGCTGGATCAAACCAGGATGACTTCCGTTAGGGTAAATCATGCCTCATGAACCTTTTAGTAAATAGAATTGTAGATAAAGTTCACCTGAAAGACATACTTTATTTGGATTTTCAACATGATTTTCATAAGGTTCCTTATAACACTCTCAAGGAAATTATCCATGAAATCTGAGGCAAAGACTTCTTTATTAAAAATGGGTTTAAGTATACAGCTGCTTACAGAGCAGAGAGAGGGTGACAGAGTTATCACTGGGACTGGTTATTCACTGAGCCCAACATTTGCAAACTTGAATGCCTACATTCATGTTTAGGCACCTAAATATAAAAGTGACTTGGTTGTTAAGAGGTGCTGATCCTCAGAGGGCTGATTGTCTTGGCTGGGAGTTCCTTGCACTCAGCACTCTCGTCAGTGCATTTTTGTGAAGGAGTCTACAGACTATGAGCCTAACTTCAAGCACCCAAGTTTGAAAATGTCGGCCTAAATTTAAATAATTCCACATATTAAAATTTTCCCATGTGGTCATTTTAGTTCAAGGGTCATTTGGCAAATGTTCATAGAGGTCTGGCAAAAGGTGCAGGTCATTGCAGCAAAAGAGATCTTTTTTTTTTGCGGGCCTCCTGTATTTCTTACTAAATGGCCCCATAAAGGGATGTTGGCCTTCTTGCTGGATTGCGGAGCAGTGGGTGAGAGTGCCAACCAAACTTCAGGTGGCACTCTGGCACTTATAGGCCAGTGGCAACTCTTTCTTTTGAGGAAGAGTGCCATTGGTCAGCCCTGGCACTTCTAGCAAGCTTCTGGATTGGCCTGTAGGTGGCTCAGTGCTGACCATAAAAAGTGGCACCAAACACAGTCTCCTTCCTGCTCTGCCCAATACCATTATGAAAATTCCATCTTCTTTCCTTGTAATTATTAGTTTGCTATGGTGTCCCAGTACTTTCCTGAGGAATTGAAATTAGGGGGGGTGTTCTAATTTATGGGGGTGGGGTTGGAAAATGACTAAATTGGCAATACTGCAGGTT